CCCGTCCTCCCCCCCCGCCTCCCGCCACCCCAATAGCCAGCCCATTACTTAATATAAAATGTTCAGTTTAAGGAGTCTCCTCATCTCTTTCCCTGTTGTTGGACCCAGTAAAGCAGGTGATTTCTGATGCATTCACCTGGTTAAACAATATTAATTTGCTATGACAAACAGTCTACGTGTACCAGCGGAGGGGAATAAAGCCATCAAAAGCCAGCTTGCATCTAATTTGAAATTCCAATTCAAGAAACATTTAAAAAACTGCTAATGGATATATCCTTGAGTTCAGGTATCTCATTACAGAGAGATTACAGAGATATTTAAGCAACTACGGACTTCAGCTTTCAGGCAGGATTAAAATGCTCCCATCGCACAACTGATCCCGCTAGTAAGATATATTGCAAATTAAAACAAATAACAGCTGCAACTAGAATCGGGAGTTCTGGGAATAATGGGGGGAGAAGAGCTTTATGCACTAGAAGTCTATTGATGCGACTCTGGGTGAGACTGAGCTCATTGCTTCCAATGTGATGCTGCCTTTCGTTTAATGCTCTCCCATTGAGAAAGCCAGGGATATACTTAAAAGTGGCATTCCCAGATTAAAACAAACCCAAACCGACCGGGAGTGGATAGGCACAGAGATAAGTATGAGGGGTGTGCAAGGGAGGGAAAGGAAGGTCAGGGTCATCTTAACTGCGGTGAAGAAAATCTAACCCACTGGGCTCTTCCCGCGATGGAAGTGGATGCGGTTAGCCCGGACGCAGAGAAACCAGGGTGCTTTTTGCCTTCCCATGGACTCTCCACATTGCACGTAGCGCTCTTGGCTGCCTTTAAATGTTCCAGCGTTGTCTTTTCAGCATCATCCCAGGCACGTGCTTTGGGAAGGCTTCAACCCAGTATTACTAGTCCTTTCTCAAAGCGAGGGATCAGTTGGATGGCAAAAAGACAATCCATCTCCGACTGCCACCTCTAAGCCTTCAGCTCGCTCCTGTACCGAGAACGACAACGAAATCCTCTCTTCCTTGGAAGCCCTTGGCTGGATTTCCTTGCTCCAGGGTATAATGACAGTCCCTGGGCTGGATCCAGCGAGGAATCGGGGTTTTGTCTGAATAAGCCCCGCGGGATGGAAAGAAAGGGATTGTCCGAGGGAGCTGCTCCTGGCAGCCCAGCAGGACGCTGCCCGACCTTCCCCTGAGCACCGCAGCTCACATGGGACATAGCAAGTGCAACAGATAAGATGCCTCCTCGGCTGTAGAAGCCGCGTGGCTTCTTCAGGGCTCCGCATTGCATCTGCTAGAAACTCTGTATGAGCCAGTGCACCTGAGCTGGAAATCGGACTCTCTTTAAAGGATGAATCGTGACAGCTATGCTGGGGCAGGATACCTCTTGGTATAAGCTGTTTCTGTTCAGGAGGACAGACGATAAATATACCGCGTGTATTGTACCCCGTGAAGCAAATCTTCCAAATCAAATGCCTAAGAACGGAGCCCTTGAATAATCTTTGTAGTCTACACAGCGATGCCATTGCCAGGCACTAGCCAGACCGTAAACACTAGCCCGATGTGAACTCCTGCACACAAAGACTGACTTTCCAAGCAGTCGAAACTAAGCGTTTTATCCTTCTACTCAAGTCAATGAGAGACGCATTGTGCCTAAAAGCCCGTGGAGTGCTATCAATTTTATACTCGGAAGCT